TGTTCTCAGCAGGGTGGGGTTTCCTTTTACACACGAGAACAAACACAAGTCACATGACGCAGCGCCTGCTGATGCACACCGCCTGCAGCCTGACAGGGAAGATAGCTGTAAATAGCTTCCGTACGTTTTATGTGAGTAATGTTAAAGTGTGTGTGTGTGGGGGGGTGACAGCAAGAGAGCAGCCAAAGTAGGTCATTAATGACACGAGGGACTCGGATGTCACTCTGCTATCCTCTGGAATGTCAGGGATGTAATGAAGACTCACATCTCCAACACAAATCCCGAGATTCTTTGACACTACAGTTGCACAGCATCACATTTATGAAATGCTTTCGTAATTTGAAGACCAAGTATTTCCTTGAAGGAGTGAATGTTGCTCACTGCCTTTCATGCCAGAGTTTTAGACTATCATCAACGTGCACTTGCAGTCATTTTGGTTATGCACGTGTCTTGTGATGCGCAGAACGTTGGGAAGAACTCTCAGCTGCTACTTCAGGTCTCTCTTGTAAATGAGTCCTCGAGGCTCAAGGGGATTTACCTGTCTGAATAAAGGATGAATGAAAAAACATTAAATTTTAGCTCCATATTTGCAAACATAACTGAGCTAGAGCCATGTTTGTGTTTGCTAATGTCGATTAGCTGTGGGAGCCATCTTGAAATGGATTGAATTGGAACATTTATCACTTGTAGAGGGCAGCACGGTGGCACAACTGGTAGAGCTGCTGCCTCTCAGCGAGCAGGTCCTTGGTTCAAACCCCGGTCCAGGGGCCTTCTGGGTGGAGTTTGCATGTTCTCTCTGTGCGTGTGTGGGTTTTCTCCGGGTGCTCCGGTTTCCTCCCACAGACCAAAAACATGCATGTTAGGCTGATTGGTAACTCTAAATTGCCCCTAGGTGTGAGTGAGAGAGTGAATGGTTGTTTGTCTCGTTTGTCTCTATGTGTCCCTGTGATGGACTTGCGACCTGTCCAGGGTGTACCCCGCCCCTCGCACAGTGATTGCTGGACATGGGCACCAGTGACCCCCGTGACCCAAAATGGAATAAGCGGGTAAAGATAATGGATGGATAGATCACTTGTACATTCAATGACTACTTTCTGAAAATTTTATAAAAATCTGTCTACTTGTTCATCAGACATTTTGTTAACAAAGTTGACGGTTAAAGTTTTAGGCAAAGTTTCTGCACAAGAAGTATCACTTGTGGTATGTGTTGTGAATAACTCTCAGCTACTACCACACCAGATTTCAGCCATTATCTGTTAATATCTTCAAATTAGCCATCCATCCATTTTCTTTACCCGCTTCTTCCTTTTCGGGTCACGGGGGTCACTGGTGCCCATATCCAGCCATCACTGTGCAAGAGGCGGGGGACACCTGGACAGGTCTCCAGTCCATCACAGGGACACATAAGAGACAAACAAGACAAACAACCATTCACTCTCTCACACCTAGGGACAATTTAGAGTTACCAATCAGCCTAACATGCATGTTTTTGGTCTGTGGGAGGAAACTGGAGTACCCGGAGAAAACCCACGCATGCACGGAGAGAACATGCAAACTCCACCCAGAAAGGCCCCTGGACCGGGGTTTGAACCAGTGTAACCTGCTTGCTGAGAGGCAGCAGCTCTACCAACTGTGCCACCGTGCTGCCAAGATATAGCCATTTTTAAAAAATGGTTAAACTATGAAGATCATCTAGGTTTCGGGTGGCTTCAGAAGTTAATGTTTTTGATGTACATCCAATGATTATATCCTGAAAGTTTCATTGAATCTTTCTCAGTGGTTCGTGAGATATTTTGCTAACAGACAAACAGAATTGTCTACAAAAAAATGAATGGCAAAATTTTAAACAAAAACACGTTACAATGTCTTGGCACTCGAAATTCACATTGGAAATCAGCTGTAGCTGCATCACATTGGAGTGAAATGTCTGTAAAACTTGTAGCCATTTGTTTGGGGTCATTTGGCTGCGGCAGCCATCTTGAATTGACTCCAAAACATAAGCAGTGTGTTAATCTAATAAATAATGTCTGCAAGTTTCATTCAGATTGGTTGTTTGCTTCATCCAATATTTTGATTACAGCTGACGCACAAACTCAGACACGGGCAAAAACCTGCCTTTCTGTGGTGGATGCTATTTATAAAAAAATCAAGTACGCAGGAGGTCCAGAGCCATATTTTACATCTCTTTCATGCTGCTGCTGCAGTATTAGATGCTTTAAAAGAAAAAAAACAAGATAAAGTCTCTGAGCAGAGCATCACTTGGGCTCCAACTGCAACAATGAGATAATCAGCTCCTGCACGGCAGTGTATCAGTGTGTTATAGAAGTATGAGGTTGTTTCACTTATTCATCAAATGTAAAATATTTACAGGATTCAATGGGCAGGCAGAACCAACTGTGGGTGATTGTTTTAATTAATATAAATGGGCATTTAAATAAAGGCATCTTGTGCTGCTTTGTGTATATTTTAGTCCTAAATACATCTCGATCTTTCAGGCAGTCGGGACGAAGATGATGAACCCGGAGCGGCAACAGACTTCACAGCCATTACCATACCGCTCTGTTGCCAGCTGGATTTTTCCGCACGCGGAGCAGAAAATTCACCTGAACGCAGGTTAAAGTGTCAGCGCATTCTCAAATTCAGCCAAGAATCTGCAGACGTTCCAGCTGAGCCAGTTTAACTGGATTGTCACATTTTTCTCGCCTCACCTTTTCTGTTTTCGTGAAGCTGCACGATATTTCTTTGTAAGAAGGAAAAAAAAGCATGAATGAGTCACCTGGGAACTACGTACTTCAGCTACCACAGAACTTTTCGGCGGAGGGTAATTTCCTTCTCAAAGGGAGAAGGTAATTACACGGCTTGAACGCACCTTAATGCGAACAGTTGCCACATTGGTGATTGTGACTAATCCTCGCCAACTGGAGCTCGAGGGTTAGGCATTTTGACTGACACCAGGTTCAAACTAAACAGCTGAAACAAGGCTTTGAACGTGATGAGGCACATAAGCCAAATGATCAGGTGAGGCAGCAGAGACAAAGACGACCCCTGCCCATAAAAGGAATACGGAAAATCACATAGCAGCATCCTGACTGCACTCTAAATAAAACATGAAAGCTCTTCTATGGGCAAAAAAGGAAAGAAAGCTTGATATTCTGAATCTGCACAGACGACTCAGATGAACCCCAGGGGAGGCCCTTCCCTTTGCATCCAATAGACTGTAAATCCCAACCATCAAACATGTTTCCTCACCCTACAGGCACAGAGGAAAGGCTTCCCAGTGGAGGGCCTGGACTGACCGTCGAGCTGTGAGCAGCTGATAAGCACTTATGCACCAAATTCCTCCTCTGAACAACACAACAACCACTTTCTCCTCTTTATCTCGAAGAATGGCAGAAGATCAATCGGAAGCGTCGCCGACATCAGGAGGTTGAGTTTCGGCAGCTCAGAAACATCAAGTCTTGTTCAGGCTCCCATTTTCTCCCAGAGTCACTGAGAGAGGCTTGATGTGAACATTTAAATAAGTTATCGCTCCTGCTCTCTGTTGCTCTCTGGGTCGCTGTGAAAGCCATGTGTACATTTTTAGAATTCCCCCCAGTTCTTGCTGACGTGAAGAAAGACATGAAAGATTCATGTTTGTTTGAAAGATTCAAAGTGGTGTTCTGAACCAAGTTGGTATAGATGAATTATTTAACCCTGAGATGCAAGGACTGGAAATTTGGGTATTTTTTTGGGAACACAAATCCAAAGCACCTATTACAGCTGACGGGTGAAACAAATGATTGCAGCTCAGTCACATCTCATTTTCTGATAAATGAAACAAATTCATGGGTTGAGCTCTTAGAAGCGGGCAGATAAGTTAAGTAGGATATGATTTTTGGCTTTCTTTTTCTTTTTGGTTTTAGTTTGGACTGAACAAAGCTACAAAGCAGGTCATTAAATGCACCAGCAGGGGGCGACAAAGCCCCATGTGTCAACACCAAGTACTGATTTCTTGTTGCACATGTTTCCTTGGTGTTTAAGTCTGCAAAGAGTAGGGTTTTTTCCCCATTATAAACAATATTTAAAAAGTAAAAAATTTAAAAAAATTCTCCTTCTACCACTGTCAAACAACTTATTCTGCTACTGAGTCTTGTTTTGAGCTTCTGGTACGCCCAGGTGCATATATAGTGTCCAGCTGTCAGCACCTGCAAGCAACCAGCGATAATCCCATATCATCAAAATCTGAGACTAGGAGACTAACTCCAGAATCTGGGAGCGGTGAGGTTGGAATGCCCTGCCTGCAGTCCTCACCTCAACTTCACTGAACACCTGCAGATCAGCTTGGGTGTGCTGTTGATCTGGAGTGGCCAACACAACCATTATGACTTATTTTATGACAAAAGCTAGTTGAAAATGGGGCGCCATCCCACAGCACTGAGCGACAAAGCTCGTAAAGAGGCGGCCCCAGGCTGTTGTGGCTGTGTATGGTTCTTCCACATGCCACTGAAGCCCCTAAATGAATTGCTAAATTGCCAGTATGCTGTTTTTTTCTTCTTCAGACTTCAATAATCCAATCCAATAAACAACACCAAGCTAGAGTCGGTAGCAGAATAAGCTGTTTGAGTAGATTTTGTAAGTTTTTCCATACATGCATCACACACACACTTTACAAATGTAGCACCATTTAAATGGAAATAAACAGATTTTCCCAACTTTTTGTTGCCAAAAACGCATACGGCAAATAAATCAATCAACCAAACAAGTTTCCATTTATTTTGAACTAAGCCTGTTGCTTCCAAAGTGACCAACAACCTGGAAATTCTTTAGCGAGGACGGAAAAAGTTGGCGAAACATTTTCTGGACAGTTCTATTCCTGTTGTAATGGAGGCGAACTGGAGGCGTTTAAGGGTTAAACTGGGTGAAATCTGACCCAGTTCCTGATGACTTAGCCCGGCTGCGGTCGAGACCTTTTGTTCGCTTCTTACAAACCAGTTTGTTTCGGGACACAAGTGAGTTCCTTCATGTCGGCAGGTATTTCGGCACGAGACGAGTCACGCTGTGGGCGCTAACGTAAAGCTAGGCGCGCGCGCCCCTCCCACGAGAGCCGCGCGCCATCCTGCTCGGAGTTTACACATGGCGACAAAAACGACGAAATTACTACGCCTTTTCTGAAAGCGGTGCTCATGGAGCGTGACTCCGGAAGGCCCAGGACAAACGTGAACGTAAGTGTCAAGCGATGTTCTTGTGCTTTTATTCGGACAAAGCCGCGCGCACTTCCTGTTGTTCTACCTGTGCAGCCAGGTGTGCTCCAGAGGACACCTGTAAACCAGCAGCTCACTGGTGGAACCCGCTCCGACCTTTAAAACTCCCCCACGAGTGACATGACGGGAGATTCAAGGCTCGGGAATGCTTATCGCCCGCTGCCTTTTCGTGTCAGAGTGTTGGGTCATCTTAAAGTTGCGAAATGACAAAGATGACGTCGTTTTGGTCAAACCTTCAAAATAAAAGTTATGGTGCGATTTATTGGGATCAGTGTCGTGACTGACTCTCAGCTACTACCACACCAGATGTTCTAAAACATGACTGGTTGACTTTTACTCAACAGCACAGGTGTCCAAAGTGTGGCCCGCGGGCCATTTGCGGCCCTTGGAGTGATTTTGTGCGGCCCACAGCTGCAGTTTAAGAATGGTATGGTTTTGGCCTGCAGGCTTAAGAGGTCGATGCAGACTCTCTGCAAATTAGTTGGTAATCCTTTTTTATATAAAGTTTAGGTTTAACAGCAAAATGGATGAAAAACAATCTTCTCAAAATGAGCGATATTAAACAAACATTTGGCTGTAGTCTTTTTATTTTCACTTCATGCTACAAAGCACCAAAAATCTTTACCAGAAAGACTTTTGGATGATGATTCATAAAACTTGGCTAATTATTGCAGTTAATAAAATAATCAAGAGGGAAATTGGACATTTTAAATGAATATAACGTGGTATCATCTGCATACGAGTTGATCAACTTTATCAAACCTTCTATAAATCTGTTGTAGCGACTGACAGCTGGACGATTTTTCTGAACTTCAATCAGACTTTTGGGCCGTCCATGGTCCAAAAGGCTGATCAACCCCCTTTTAAAAGGACATGTATACTCAAATTATGCTTTTACTGCTGAGAACAGACTAAAATGATCTTTCCAAACACAAGAAAACAACAAACATAGACCCAACAAATCAAATAAATCAAATCCTTTATAATAAAACATATAAGCTTAGTGTTTATGGCCCACATATGAACACGTTTGGACACCCCGCCCTACAGTGACTTTCACTTGTTACATTAAATATAATTATGTTGTTTTATGACTTCTGATTGAACCTGTCACTTTTTTGCAGCATGGTGGACTACAGTGTTTCAGATGCACCAGGAGAGCTCTTTCCCAAGCCTGGTGGACTTTTTAAAATGGAGGCTCTCGCTCTGACAGACTTTCTGGAATGTCCCCTTTGTTTGGAGCAACTGGACGCCTCTGCCAAGGTCCTGCCCTGCCAGCACACTTTCTGTGTGTCCTGCCTGCAGAGGCAGGAGGAGGCGTCTCGCTCCCAGCTCCTGTGCCCAGAGTGTGGCACCCCTGTCCAGGTCCGGACGGTGCAGGAGCTTCCTGAAAACCTGATGCTGGTGCGGCTCCTGGAGGGGCTCCAGGGCCTCGGCAACGACTCGCAGCGAGTCTTCTACGACGTACCCCCAGACCTGGAAGATCAGCTGCAGGAGAGTCAAAACAGAGAGAAGCAAGGGCACAGTGAGGTCAGTGCGTGACCCCAGCCTGGTCCTCTTCAGGTCTTTAAAAACATAAGCAGTCTGACTAACTGGACCGTTAAATATGTGCTCGTTTAAATGTTTACAACCCTAAAAAACACTCCATATTGAGCAACTCGAAGGTGTGGCATGATGGTAACATACTAGTAGCTGTTCTGGTTCAGCTGAATTCTATGGTAAACATCAATTGTGCTGAACATTTTGAAAGCAAAACACCTTACTTGAAGCTTTTCCATGTTTTCTTGTATACATTTTTCATGTATCCTGTTTGGGATGTGAAACCAGACTACAGAGCACGGAGGTTGTAAATACATTACATTTAAAATAATTGTGGATTTTTTAAAACAATATTTAAAAAAAAACTCGTCACACTGTTAAAACAAAATGCTGCAGATTGAGTTGCATCATTTCATGTCCTAATATATTACCACACACGTTAACAGGAGAGCACTTGGTGTCAACAGCAGAAAATTCTTGTGGCGTGTGTTTTTACTTGCCCAGCCACAGCCTTTCTTCACTATGACACAGTTCAGCTCATTTATCAGATGTTTTACTGGTTAGAACGACTTAACTAGTTTAGTATTTTCTACTGAAGAACATTCAGTTGTGAGATGACGTTCTGAGAACTGATTGTTGATTCTGTTTGCCCATAAGTGCCTCATCACTGTTTTTAACTAGAGAAATTGCATTTCCTGTAAAAATGTAGTGTGCATGCTTACTGCTGAAGAACTTGCTGAAAAACAGCTGAAATTAGCTTAAAACACGCTGAAATGTCGGTAAAATGGTAGAACAGGCTTAAATTAGCAGGTGAAAGCAGAAAGAACCCACATTTGCTTAATTATGTTTCAATAAGCAGAAATAAGCACAAAAATTAGCTAAAAAAGCTGAAATTACCAAAAAAAAAACCCAGCTGAGAAGTAGCTGAAAAGGCAAAAAGAAGCTTAAACTACAAGAGGGAAGCGGAAAGAGCTGAAATGAGCTCCAAAAAATGTGGAATTAGTTATAAAGGTTAAAATTAGCATAAAAACAGATAAATAGTAGCTGAAATAGCATAAAAAGCTGAAACTAGCAGAAAAAGCTTAAAGGAGCATAACAAGTTGAAATTAGTATGAAGAAGATTATTTAGCGAAATGAACAGAAATTATCAGAAAAAAATAGAATTTATCTGAAAACAGTTGAAATTAGCTAAAAAATGCTAACAAGAAAGGTAGAACAAACTTAAATTAACAGAAGATAGCAGAAAAAACATGTTTGCCCAATTATGCTGAAAACCTCATTTACCCTGGAGACAGTTCCCACCTGCCAGAAGACTGCCACCATCATCCTAGTCCCAAAAAGCTCTAAAGTGACTGGTCTGAATGACTATCGGCCAGTGGCCCTCACCCCGATAGTCGCTAAGTGCTTCGAAAAACTGGTCATGTCCCACATCAAAACAGCCATCAGCATCAACGAGGACCCTCATCAGTATGCATACCGTGAGAACCGATCAACAGAGGATGCCATCTCCTCTGTGGTCCACACTGCGCTCAACCACCTGGAGCAGAAAAACTCTTACGTCCGTATGCTCTTTATGGACTTCACATCCACCTTCAACACCATGATCCCCCAAACCCTGATGGACAAACTATCCACACTAAGACTAAGCTCCTCCATCTGCAACTGGGTACTAGACTTCTTAACAAACAGACCACAGTTAGTGAGGATCCACAACCTCTCCTCCTCCACCATAACCCTCAGCACTGGCTCTCCTCAGGGATGTGTGTTG